AAATATCTCTGGACTCTCTCAATTGTATTTATGTCTGATATGTAGTGCGGGTTCCAGACAGATGACCTGTATTCAAGAATTGGTCTAGCAAATGTTTTGTATGCTCTAGTTAGTAGTACAACATTACCAGAGAAGAAGCTACGCAATATTAGGTTAACAAGTAGAGCCGGGAACGACTAGCGCATATGTGCGAGGGGAACCTTTACCTTTACCTTTATCCAAAACTTGTACTCTAGCTCTTGATGTCTGTGCCCAATCTGAACCTTCTTTCCCCTTAACGATGCATCCTGAGCAGTGCCAGGTAATTCCTGCCACCTATCTTTCGTCCCTTCTGGCTACCCAGAAATGTCCTGATTATACTCATTCTCGCAGAAAACTATGAATCCCTGTTTTATAAGTTTAAAAATTTGATAGGAAATCTGTATCTGGTGAATACATCTCTCCAAAGAAGTTGTGATAAGTTCTAGTCTGCTTTATGTTGAGACATATACAATGAGGTTTTCTCAATGTTGATGTTAGCTATCAATCACCTCAACAATATTTGAAACCTGGAGCAAAACCAAAGGAATATGGTAAAATACAAAAACCATATATCAAGCGTGTTAGGCTCTTCTGGAAGTCTTTGTACAAAATTACTTGAGAAGTGGATTTGGCAATTGACTTCATTGAGTCATCTGGACATTCATCATGGCACAAAATGTCTTTCAAACCTATGTCAGCAAGTCATAAAGAATTGACATTAAAATTTATTCATAGGTACTTTTCATTTTTTAAAATGTCCATTACATTTAATTGAAGTTTTCTAGATTCTCTTAGAGACTTTTATTCAAACTGATGTCTATTGTCAACTGAGTGGCAGTGTTCATGTAGTTTGAATTAACTACAAAACGTTTTGGTGAAAGTTTTGAGAAAATAAGAAAAAAATATCGTATCTGCCTTTGGTACCTAGTTCTAGTGTAGCTTTATTGTCTGTTTCTTCAGAGATAGTTGTAATTATTTATGTATAAGCTTAGATAATAGAGGCAGAATTAAGCATGTTGAAACATTATTGATTTTGGCAATAGAAGCAAACATGGTGTCAGTCCTGCATCAGCTTGAACCTTTAAATAAGAACAACCTTGGACTCCATTCGGTGGAAAAGGCATGAGCCAGAACTGAAGTTCATGCATCAAAACTCCGAGTTAAAACTTTAGGCACTCCCCATTGCTGGTCCCTCACTGCTCAATTATGTTTTGAATAAGATGTTTTGGAAACAGCCATTCTGATTGTAGACATTCTTCTCATCACGGCATGACCTTGGGACATCATCTCAGCCAGGATTCATGGCAGACTGAAACTGAAGTGGTTGCAGAAAGCAGACATGAGGTGGCACTTCTGACACATGGATAAATAAATAAAAACGAAACGTACTCAATTCTACTTGGATTTATGAATGTTTCTTTCTATTAAATAAAACATTCCATTTTGACAGGGATGTAGCTTTCTGAAATTTGTACTCTTTCAGTAATTAAGACAAATACTGTTGCATTGATTTTCTCACCCATTAATGAAGAGCACCACTTTATCTGTAGCCTTTTTGAGCTTATCCCATAAGTGCAGAGAAAAGAAGGATGTTGTCAGTCTGCCACAATTTAGTCCCTTAAGCAAGAACGACCTTCAACTCTCATTTGGTGTGAAAGGTTTACTTTACTAAAGGCCAAGTGGATTACAATATAGCAAAGCCAGAACTGAGGCTCATGTGCCAAACTTTCCCGGTTAACTTTTCCCAATTTGTCCCTTCTTGTTATTGATCCCTCATTGTCCGATCATATTCAAAGAAAATGTTTTGGGAATATTTTCTTCAACTGTGGACTGGGTGGTGCGATGCCTTTCCCAGCTGCCTGACCTTGAAGTTGTGTCTCTAGAAGGTACGATGAGTCGTCAGCCTCCCCACTCCCATCCAACTCCCTCCCCCCGTAGTTTATGGCAGACTGGTAGCTAGCGAATGCAAAGTGCAGTTTTAAGAGATGTCTTTTTATTTGCTTTACCCTTCTCATTTTTCACTCCTTGGGGAAAAGAACAGATTTCTCCTTCAGCTAATAAACTTTTCCTTTGATTCACCTATTCCAGAGGTCAGCAACCTGCAGTTCTGGAGCTGCATGTGGCTCTTTCACCCCTCTGCTGCGGCTCCCTGTCACTCAAAATATGTGTCACAACCGCCAATGTGCAACACCCACCAGCACACAATTTATTGAACTTTTCAACCCCCGGTAGGCCAACCATAGATAAATCTAAGAAAAGAAAAGTTTCAGAAGAAAACAGAACATTTAATTCGACTACATATGCTAGTTTTGTGGCCGCTCAAGAAATAGTCAGGCACGGGAAGGGTTTTGTGGCTCCCGGTGTTTTCTTTTCTGTGGGAAACGGGTCCAAATGGCTCTTTGAGTGTTTAAGGTTGTAGACCCCTGACCTATTCTATACCTTATATCAGAGTTCCCCAACCTCCGACTTTACAGACTGGCGGGGGAGGGAGAAGGGATGGTTCAGCGCAAGGTGTGCAGAAGCAAACACGTGTGCACAGCTCCATTTGCACAAGCAGCAGGCACAGTGCTAGTTGTTTACATGTGTATGTGCTCAGCCTTGCCGCTCACGGGGGGACATGTATGCTTGCCCGCCACTTCGGGTAACTCAGTTTTGAACAGCTCATGGTCCGGTAGTGGACCATGGCCTGGGGCTTGGGGTCCCCTGCCTTATATTATACATTTGTAGTCCATGAAAATGCTGTTTTGCAACATTAAAGTCTGATGAAAAGATAATCTACCCTTTCCATTTCAACGCGTACAATTTTCTTACAAAATGATTCAGCAGAAGTTTTTTGTTGAATTGCTCGCAGTTCTTGCATTTCAAGTGCAATAACAGCCCATTGTTAATAAAAATAATTTTAAGTGAATGGGATTGTAAAAGCCTAAAATTACATTTAATATCTCTTACATATAAATGCACAGGAGAATTTAAGATTGGATGCTTTTGCTTTGCGCTTGATACATTTCTTCACGGTTGATTGCTGAGCAGCCAAATATGGCAATGAATCCCAGTTGTGGTCTTTTTTAACAGGTTTGCTCAAGTTCTTACAACTCTAAGAATCCTTTGCTAAGAATACTATATAGAAATTTGCTTCTAGTATAGCATTTTTTGCATCCTTCAGTCATTATCATTTTATAAATCAAATGCACAGCAACTCTTTTCTCTTAGAATTTTTTTTTAAAAAATAATGGACGTCTTTGGTCATAGTGCTTTTTGTTGACATGTTTCAAATGTTTGTTGGTTTCCCCATGCAGAAACCTATATACTCCAGAATCCTGTAGCCAAAATTCATCACTGCCTCCCTATTGCTGGGAGGCAGCAAAAGCACGAACTTTCTGTCTGTTTTTTTTTAAAAAAAAAAATCAAAGATTTTATGGTCATAGGCCAGCTATTTGTTCTGTATCGGATTAGAGGTATTGATTTCATTTTTATTTCAAATGCATGTTACCATGTTCTGCAACAAAATGTACTTATTTTGAGTAAATGTGTCTAGCATCTGGGCAGCAGAAGAAACAACATTTCATTCTGGCTCTTGGTTTTGTATTTATGGATCAAATTGTTTGTGGATCTAAGAAATACAGGCACATGTTCAAAACTAGAATGAGGATGGACAGGAGAAGGGAAATATAAACGCTATGCTTCACAGATGATGTGATATGTGTAGCTCCTTGGTTGATGAATAAAGTTTAAGATCTTTAAGTCTACAATTATCTAGTTGCACTACTAAATACAGGTAGTCCTCGACTTACGACCACAATTGAGCCCAAAATTTATGTCGTTAAGGGAGACATTTGTTAAGTGAGTTTTACGACCTTTCTTGCCTCAATTGTTAAGTAAATCTCTGTGATTAATAAGTTAGTAACCTGTTTGTTAACTGAATCTGGCTTCCCCACTGACTTTCCTTGTCAGTAGGTCACAAAAGGTGATCGTATGACCTTGGGACTGCGCAACTGTCATAAATATGAATCCGTTACCAAGCATCTGAATTTTGATCACATAACCTTGGGGATGCTGCAAAAGTCGCAATAGTGAAAAATGATCATAAGTCACTTTTTTCAGTGCCGTTGTAACTTCGAACAACGATCACTAAACAAACCGTTGTAAGTTGAGGACTACCTGTAGTTATTCATTGTTACATTCTGAAACTGATTTTCATTTCATTTAATGGATGTGTCTCAAAAGTAAAAAAAAAATAATAATAATCATGGATTTAATTGCCAGGATCTGCCCAAGTATTGTGGCACTCTTCAAAATTCCACCTGGATTAAACTTCACAAACAGCATACCATGTTTCCCCGAAAAGAAGACTGGGTTTTATTTTCTTTTGGGCCCCAAAACAAGCACTAGGGCTTATTTTCAGACATTGTCTTACTTTTTTTCCCCATGTATGGGAGGCCCATTTCTTCTGCTTTATTGCGGCAGGGCAGGAGGCCGAACGGCACCCAGGCCATCCACACCCTGACACCTGCCTCACCTCGCGGCCACGGCACCAACACGCCACCCAGCCTCCTGCTCCGTTGCAGCCATGAGCAAACAGAAGAACTGGGCCAGCAGCCACATGTGCTCCTGCTGCACATGGCTGCTGGTGCTGCCACCACAAAGCAGGTGTCGGGGCACAGATGGCCTGGCTGCAGACACCCTGAGGTAAGCTGGTGAGGGGTGCATGGGGTAGTTCCACCACCCCTGCCTTATCTCATGGCCACAGTACCGCGAGCAACCAGACGGAATGGGCAGGCAGCCGGCTGCGCAGGGTCTTAAGTGGGGCTTATTTGGGGGGTAGGGCTTATATTAGGTGCAAGTGTAAAAAGAACTCCATGCTAGGCCTTATTTTTTTGGATAGGTCATATTTTTGGGGAAACGGTAGTAGCAAGTAATACAAAGAACAACCACAGCCACAGGTTGGAATTTTCCTCTAACTTCTTTTCTTTCTCTCACAGGAACTTTTTACCCCAGAATGTAAGTTTAAGGAGTCTGTTTTTGAAAACTATTATGTAATCTACTCATCGATGCTGTACAGACAGCAAGAGTCGGGTAGGGCCTGGTTCTTGGGACTCAACAAAGAAGGGCAAGTCATGAAAGGCAATAGAGTGAAGAAAACAAAACCAGCAGCTCATTTTCTACCGAAGCCATTGGAAGGTAAGCTGACTTTGACACAGCATCGCATGTATCAAAACATTCCAAAAAACCTATCACCCTTCAGGTCGACTTTCAAATGATAACTACTCTGGTTCCCTTGCATGTGTTTCCTAACTCTCCGTTTGATACCTCCCTACTTCGTATTTTGTGTCTGGTTTGTTTTTTTTTCCATACCTGAAAAGAATATGGATGAAAAGCTCTTTGGTGGCAATCTTTGAACTGGGCAGGAATATGGAAAGCTTTTCTGAAAGCAAATTCCAGCATCACCCAGTCTGAACATGAGAAAGATTTTCCCATTCTTGCTAAAAACTCAGCAAGTGACAATAGAGAAGTCATGCTTCTTTTACTCTCAGTCCTTTTAAGCACTATGGGGTGAGAAAAGTATTGATCTCTCTTATTTAGCTGTTGTAAGGATTTCTGAGGCAATGTATATGAATGATTTTGTTTGAAAGTACAAAATACTATAACTCTGTTATTCCAGAGGAAAAATCAGAGCCCAAGGTGAAATGAAAAAAAATATCACCTGGAGAAATTTGACTCACAGTATGTTCTTCTTTATTTATTTATTTTTTAATTTGATTTATATGCCACCCTTCTCCGGAGACTCAGGGCGGCTTACAATGTGCTAAGCAATAGCCTTCATCCTTTTGTATATTTATACAAAGTCAGCTTATTGCCCCCACAACTGGGTCCTCAATTTACCTACCTTAGAAAGGATGGAAGGCTGAGTCAACCTTGAGCCTGGCGAGATTCGAACCTGCAGTAATTGCAGGCAGCTGGTCTTAATAACAGGGTGCTTTAGACCACTGTACTACCAAGGCTCCTAGAAATTATTATTTCTAATAATAGTAGTAATAAATGCCTTGGGTGTAATCCCAAAACTTTTGTACACCAGCAGCACTGACAAAATTACTATCAGTCAATTGCAAAAGGCCTTTTTTCTTTGGAACAATTTGCATCCTACAACGATAGCTTTATCATCATCAAACAACAATGATCCCCCTATCCCAGGTCTTTGGGAAGGATTTATGTGGCATAAAAATGCCAAATCGGTCTAAACATCTGGCTAACTGTGATACCCATAATAATAATGAAGACTCAATGCATATGAAGGCCAGCACCAGCTAAAGAGATGGCCACTGTGATTTCACATTGTTATGTGTATAATAATAATAAGGGAAACATGGATAATAACAATAGCAATTGGTACTTTGCTTACAATCCAAAGCAATAGGAGCACCATTTGAATACTATTGGCAGTGACAAAATCAGTCCATTGCAAAAGGCAACTTTTATATTCTGGACTTGATAGGTAGATAAAAATGTCAAATCCAGTGTAAGTGCTAAATGTGTGATTAACCATAATATTAAATGTGCATTAAAGATTCTCTAAAGCCATCTGATATTGCTTTCCCCTGTTCCTTGAATTATTTCTGTTGGTAGCCCCTTTATTCCTGGGGCTTTGAATTTGGGTGACTTTTTGCTACTTCTTCTATCAGCATTTCTAGCTCTAGCGCTGTTGTTTTGTGGCCTTATGTTACTTCTCCGTGATACTCTTCTAGAGGTTTAAGAAGCTCTTGGAAGTGTTATTTCCATACTGTTAAAGTTACTAATAGCAATAGCAATAGCACTTAGACTTATATACCGCTTCACAGTGCTTTTACAGCCCCCTCTAAGCGGTTTAGAGTCAGCATATTGCTCCTAACAATCTGAGTCCTCATTTTACCCACCTTGGAAGGATGGAAGGCTGAGTCAACCTTGAGCCTGGTGAGATTCGATCTGCCAAATTGCTGGCAGCTGGTGATCAGCAGAAGTAGCCTGCAGTACTGCACTCTAACCACTGCGCCACCGCGGCTCTTACTAATCATTTCTGACCTGAATCTTTCTACAATTTCACAGGTGCCCTTTGCTTCAACAAACTTCCAACATTTATATGGCCCTTTCCCAGTAATTTTAGTTACTTATATAGAGGTTGGCAGACTTTGAGTGCCCATTGAAAATCCACCACCAATTGTTAAATATTATCTTGTCTTTTCATTTCATTTTTTAATGCTTCTCATTTATAATGCTGTTCTGTGACCGTAATATTTTTTTAAAAAAATGTATAGAGGTCAAATACCACCGATGAATCACTTGTGTGATTTTACTTGATCTTTAATGATATATAGAACATAGGATTCTTCCAAAGTATAGTCCATTTCATATCTGAGATATTATACATGTAGCCCTCATTTAGCTTCTCCAGTGACCTTTCGTAATTATAACTTTAATGAAAGAGTAACTGTATAACCAAAGCTTGCATTTATGACCTTTGCAAATCTGTAAAAGCAAAAGAAAACTGAAATAAGATAATGAACTGAAAGGAAGGGAAGGGAAGGGAAGGGAATAGATTTTTTATTGGCCAAGTGTCATTGGACACGCAAGGAATTTATGTCCAGTTCATAAGCTCTCAATGTACATATATGCAACAGAGTGATAAGTCATATTCATAAATCCTAAGATACAGTCATAAATCATAAGATACAAACAACAATTGATAATAATAATATATCAATAGGAGAAGGTAATAGGAGATGAGAGAGGAGAAGAGGAGAAGGATAATAGCAATACAGCCTACTACATGGGTAAATATCTTTAGGCATAAGAGAGTGTTGTGGGAGTTAAGTTTTTAGCAGAGTGATGGCATGAGGGAAGAAACAATCTTTGTGTCTTGCTGTTTTGGGATGCAATGCCCTATAGCAATGTCTTGAGGGGAGAAGTTGAAACAGTTTATGTCCAGGATGTGAGGGGTCTGTAGATATTTTCTCAGCCCTCTTTCTGGTTCGTGCAATATACAGATCCTCAATGGAAGGCAGGCAGGTTGCAATTGTTTTTTTCTGCAGTGCTAACCATCTGTTGAAGTCTGTACCTCTCCTGTTTGGTTGCTCTGCCAAACCAGACAGTTATAGAGGTACAAACGACAGACTCAGTAATTCCTCTGTAGAACTGTATCAGCAGATCCTTGGGCAGTCTGAACTTTCTGAGTTAATGGAGGAAAAAGTTTCTTTGTTGTGCCTTTTTAATGATGGTTCTAATGTTAGGTGTCTGTTTCAAGCCCTGAGAGATTATAAAACCCAGAAACCTGAAGGTCTCTACTGTTGATACTGTGTTGTCTAATACTGTAAGACTGTGATGGCGAACCTATGGCACGGGTGCCACAGGTAGCACGCGGAACCATATTGGTGGGCACACGAGTGTTTCCCTAGCTTAGCTCCATCATGCATGCACGCTGATTTTCAGGCCTTCCGGTCCCACCGGAAGTCGGGAAACTGGCTATTTCCGGCCTCCGGAAGACCTCCGGGAGGATGGGGAAGGCTGTTTTTGCCCTCCCCAGGCTCCTAGAAAGCCTCTGGAGCCTGGGGAGGGGGGAAAACGGGCCTACCTGGCCTACCGTGCCATCACATGCCAAAAGCAGAGGGAAGTGGGGGGGTGTCACGTGCGCATGCACGGGAGGGCAGGGTGCATTGAATTATGGATGTGGGCATACGCACCCGCGACCCCCCCCATGCTCCATCTGCTTTTGGCATATGACGGCAAAAAGGTTAGCCATCACTTCTGTAAGAGGTGGTAGAATGGGAGGTTTTCTCCTAAAATCTACTCTCATCTCTATAGTTTTAAGAGTGTTCAGCTCCAGATACTTCTGCTGGTGACTGCTTTGCTTAACAAACAAGTTTCCAGTCCTAATTATGGTTGCTAAACGAGTATAACCTGTGTTTTAAATCTTAATCCCATGTTTCTCTCCAACAACTTCTAACAGGATATTACATATTTTGAATATTAGACATTTAGTACACTTTGATAATTCCAATTTAAGACTATTATTTACAATGTACCATTGTATTTTTAACAAAGTGACTCATTTTGTTAATTTATAACCAACTGAAGTTCGTGTATGCCAATTTCCACTTTAAAAAAAATCTTCTGGCATTACTTTATTATTTGTAAAGTAATCCCTCAATCTAAACAAGTTTGCTGCCTCAACATATCATTAGATAACTCTCCTAAATTATTCAGGAAAGAACCACAACCCATAACTGGCATTAAGGAGAAGGATGGAGTTAATGTTTCCCCAGTACTTGCAAATCTCCAAAGCACATACAGTACGTATATTTGTGTATGTGTATGCATGTACAGATACATATATATACATACACACAGAGAGAGTATATGCTTTCATAAAATATATCAGTGTTGCTCTTTGATTTCACTTAGCGCGCATCAGACATATATACTGTATTTTTCGTAGTATAAGACGCACCTTAGTTTTTGGGGAGGAAAATAAGAAAAAAACTGATTGGCAGGTGGATCGGCCTCCCAGAATACCCCCAATCAGCTGTTCCCAGAGGTGAATTTTAGCAACAGGTTCCTTGGTTGTGAGCTCTGTGCCTTGCTTTTTTTTTGCTTTTTTTTTTTTTTTCTGCTTTTGAAACTTCTGAAACTCTGTTTCAGGAAAAAAAAATTTTTTCCTGCCTCTGAAAGCCTCCAAATCAGAGCTTCAGAAAAAAAGCCTCTAAAGCTCTGTTTGGGGGCTTCTTTTCTGAAGCTTTGCTTCTGATGCTTTTTTCAGCCTCTGAAACCTCCGTTTGAGAAGCTGGGCAGGGCTACATTCGGAGTATAAGACGTATCCAGACTTCCACCCTCTTTTTGGGGGAAAAAAGATGTGTCTTATACTCCGAAAAATACGGTACGTACACACACACACACACACACACACACACACACACACACACACACACGTTAGATTTAAGATATATCAGAAATAGGAAAACAAGTTGGATAGCTATTTTGCCCACAACAGAATAGATTAACTTGTCCAAATAAAATAGTGGTGCACTTTTTCTTTTTCTTTTTCTTTATTCATTCATTCATTCATTCTTTTATTTATTTGATTTATATGCCGCCCTTCTCCAGAGACTCAGGGCGGCTTACAATGCGTTAAGCAATAGCCTTCATACTTTTGTATATACCTGCTTAGTAGGGCTTTTGGGGGGCCCTAAGGGGTGTTCTTTTTATACAAAGTCAGCTTATTGTCCCCACAATCTGGATCCTTATTTTACCTACCTCGAAAGGATGGAAGGCTGAGTCAACCTTGAGCCTGGTGAGATTTGAACTTGCAGTAATTGCAGGCAGCTGGTGTTAATTAACAGCCTTTTAGTCTGCTGCGCCACCAAGGCTCTTCCAACATTGGAAGAGCCTTCCAACATTGTTTCCAACAGCAAGATATAATTTAACACATTTGGTTTAGCTAAGATTTCTTGGAATATTAATTCCTAAATATTTGATTGACTTTCGAAGATTTGAACGTCATAAGTGCTTCTTAATTTCTTTCCATAGCTTTCCGCCTCTATGTATGAAAAGAACTTCTGTTTTTTGATAGCTAATTTTAAATCTTGCTATATTTCCATTGCTGATCATGTATTGGATAATTATTGGCAGTTTTTTATTAGTTTAGATAAAAATATTGTAATGTTATTGGCACTTACTTTCACATCCTGTTCTCATAAAAATGTACCGTCGTACACATTTTCATTATTTCGGATTGATGCATATTCTAAAGTTAGAGCTTTTCCATGGAGATAGAAGTTCGCTTATATCCGCAGCATGTGTTATGCTGACATTAGCATGTTATTTATAAATAACCCTTGATATCACATAATAAATAAAATGGAAACAAAGAAAGCCAAGTTTAAGCAATCAAAAATAGTGACAATTTGCCAGATTTCCATTCATGGTTATTTTGTGGTAAATTCTGCTGAGTTCAGTATTGTTTAATCTGGGTAAGGGAAAATCAGATTGTGGTCTAATCATGCTGAATAAATGAGTAGGGTGGACACTAAAGATCCTGCTCTATATTAGCCACTTAAGTTATATACTAAATAAGAGTATGTGAGCCACTGCTACGGACTGATGTTTTAAATGGCTCTCTCTTCCCCTACTTGGCACACTTTACACAGAAATGGCAGAGACCTTCTCCTTTGCATGTTAACGCCCTTCAGTCCTCACCCCATTTACAATTCACATTTTCTTTAATAAAACAGTTTTGTGCCACAATATATCTTAGTCACAATGTTGTTTTTGCTGCAACCAAATAATACAGCTGCCTTTCTAGACTTTTCCACAAACAGTAAAACAATTTTTGAAAATGGGCAGACGTTGTTGTTAGTTATGAAATGTTTCCGACCCATCGCGACCCCAGGGACAATATTCCTCCAGACCTTCCTGTCCTCTACCATCCCCCCCCGGAGTCCATTTAAGCTCACGCCGACTGCTTCAGTGACTCCATCCAGCCACCTCGTTCTCTGTCGTCCCCTTCTTCTTTTGCCCTCCATCTTTCCCAGCATTAGGCTCTTCTCCAGTGAGTCCTTCCTTCTCATTAGGTGGCCAAAGTATTTGAGTTTCATCTTCAGGATCTGGCCTTCTAAAGAGCAGTCAGGGTTGACCTCCTCTAGGATTGACCAGTATGATCGCCTTGCAGTCCAAGGGACTCGCAGGAGTCTTCTCCAGAACCATGCACTCTAATTTAAATATGTCTTTAATTTTAATCAGCTTTGCTTAGATTGCACATATTTTACACTTTGCTTTTTAATCGTAGATTATCTGAGGGAAGTCTCTATGTGGCCAAAACATGAATATGTATGTGTTGATTTATATTGTGTTATATATATTTTTTTAAAAAAACCCAGCTCTGCATCAGGTTAAGACAGGGTGCTGTGATATTTCACACTGAAATAAGTATAGAAACAAACTTTGCTAGCATGTTTAACTTAACATGGATTTCTCTTTTCTCCCTAATACTACAGTTGCCATGTACCGAGAACCCTCTCTACATGATGTTGGGGAAACAGTGCCAAAGGCTGTGGGGACGCCAAGTAAAAGCACAAGTGCATCGGCAATAATGAATGGAGGAAAACCAGTGAACAAGAGTAAGACCACATAGCCAGAGCCTTGTGGATGTTGTGACTTACTGAACTCTCTATGTACAGCTGGGCACTTTATCCTTGCAAGACTATCCCACTCTGGTGTCTGCGGATTGGCTGGAAGCAAGCGACGGCTTGCTCTGTGCTCCTTCCAAATCTGTAACTCTTCCCACAGCAAAGACTTTTGGATGACCAGCTGAACTCCGACCATAGAATGCCCAACCAGATATGGAATGCCTTTTAATCTCTTTTCTGTGACTGTGACACCTCATGTGAATGGCATACTTCACAAGTACACTTGATATCTCTTGCCTGCTGACAGTTACCCATAATTCCCCCCTTTGGAGCCCAGGAGACCCCCCCCCCCCCCGTGTTTTAAGTTCAATTTTGTAGCCCACAGAATAAATAACAAGTAATTTCTAGATAGATGCTGTAAAACCTGTGCTATTATGGATTTTTTCTTCCTCCTCTTTTTTATGAGGCTGCTTGCTCCGCTGTCTGTGTGACTCCTTTGCAGGGATTATGTTTTGCTCAGATTGAAGTGTTGCTGATGGCTTAGTTTTGGGAAGCAATCAGAGAATTAGGGGAGCCTTCAAAACACTGTTAGGGATCATACCTGTAAAAGATAGGACCATTGCAAATAAGGATTCCGCTTGAATACAGTTCCAGTATGTTCCCAAGGAGGGAAAAGCATCACGTGTGGCTAGTCAACAACCTTCCAAGGCCAATGTTTGATACCCCCTGTGTGTGCGTGTGTGTGTTTTATACATATCACAGACTTACTGGTAATGGTAACATTTGCCTTGCCCAGCGAGCAAGACCCACATATTTTTAAGGAAGTGGGTCCAAAGAACTCTGTAGGCCTTGTAGGCCTGAATTAAGGCTCATTTTTCATCTACTAGTACTCATTATCTGAAATTCAAAAGAAAAAAAATTAGAATGAATGGGAATTCTGCTACCTACGTCTCTTTCAAAACAATAGGTTCCTTCTCCTGTTTTTAAACAATGGAACGTAATCCCATCTTTATTTATGGCTATAGTTCACTCTTACTCAGCAAAGCATGGGCAAGGAAGTTGTGGTTTTTTTTCTCTGCAGCACCAATGCAAAAGATAGTTACCGATTATACTTTTAATACTTTCAGTGTTAAAAAGAGAGGAAAGATTTTAAACATATTTGACGGATTCCTTTGCATTTCTTTGATAGCTTAGCATGCGAAGTCCAGGCAATATATTATTTTATCTATACCACAGCACTATGTTTCCAGTCCAGCTTCTTAGGATATTATGGCCACCAAATTGCTAGATTTTCGGTGCCTTGCATTTATCTTATTATTTTGGTTTTCCCTGTACTCTACAAATTTAAGAAAATTCTAACAAAAGAACAAGGTCACAAATGTTTCTCTTTTGATTACTAAATGAAATAAATACTAATAATTTTTTTGGGCTAGAGAGCCTTGAGGCCAAAATGAAAGAATAGCAACAGGCTATTCTTACAAAACACTCTTAGACAAATGGATAAATTTTTGAAAGTAGATACTGGGAAACTAAATTGAAAACAGAAAGCATGATGTGAACCAAAATGTATCTTTGTTCCAGATAATCATGTATGAAACGTCTAAACATTTGCACTCATGTTTGTTTTCCATTTCAATTTTGGAACTTTTTTTTCAACGTGGTTTTAAATATTGGTTTACTTTTCATCGTTATTATGGAATGTTCAGATTTCCTATTTGGTTTGGTGGTAACAGATTAAACTTTGAATTAACTCTTGAATCTTGATTCATATCAGCTTCTATTTGAATAAGTAAGCCCTTAAGGTATGCGTGAATAGATCGCACATTGCTACTAGGTTATTCATGTACAACAGGGGTATTTGAACCCCCAATTTCTTGGTTTCTCCATACATGGTAAAGGTGTTTTAAGTTGATTTCTTTCAGCCACACAAGTGAAGCACATTAAACATTATTCTGTTCCCAGAATTTAGTAACATTTTTAAAATGGCAACAAAAAAGATTAAGGTGTTTTACAACAAAGGAAAGAATTGGCGCACAAAAATGGACCATAAAAATCCTTTTCCTCCTTGGTTTCTAGAGAAGGAATATCTTAGCAGTTCCCCTTGGGAAGAAGCCTTTTTTTATTTTATCCCCACACAGGGTAGAAAGGGGTCATTGTGGTTCCCCACAAGTAGCTCAGCAGTGGCCCGGGGGACTTCAGAAGTCATGCTATTTCAGATGCTCTGCCTAGTAGACACAGAATTGTTGTCTGCCCAACTCTGCCAGCCCGTCACATTTTATTCTGAATTTTGAAATGTTTTGTGGTTGTTTTTTTTCCCTAGAGCCCCAGTTATTAGAGACTGCTTACTTTGATTTTCAGTATACTTTCTGTACCGTGCAACTGAAAACTCTAAAACAAGAGTGCAAAATAAAAAGTGTGACATGTATTATTTCCCTTTCATTTTGATGATGATGGATGAAGCTGGAGAGGGACAGGTTGGGGGCTTGGTGAATCACCTCAGGACTTGGAACCAAACATAAAGCATCAAGCATAAGGTGAGGTAACATCAGTTTGTCAACTCATTTTATAATGCCAGCAAGATTTAATTTTTATTTTTATACCTGTGCTCCAGACTTGTACTCATTGCATAATTCTTCTGCTGGACCTTTTTTTCTCTCTTTTCATGTACAAAGAAGCTTTGGAGCCAGAATCAAGGTTAGCCAAAGGGAACTATTCTCTTTTGCCAGTTGCAATACATTCTCTTAATTTTTACATTTGTGCCCATACTGCCATGTCAACCAGCCATGTAGTTAAATAAGAAGACCGAGTTCATGTTTGTAAATGATTGACGCTGTATACTATTAAGTAGAACACATGTATTCCCTTCTTTGTTGTAATGGGTGTAGATTGCCTTCACACCTTCCATGACTGGGGGGATCTTAAATAAGCTTATTTGAGAATCTAAATCCATTTCAGCACAGAGGAGAGAACGTGTAGTTCCTTGTGCTTTAGTTACTTTTTTAAGTTTGTCTCATCTGTTTGCATGGGAAAAGGATGGTAATAATGAATTGCATGTAGTAGGCTATATGTATCAGACCTGTTGGTATGTACTGCAAAACTGACATACATATAAGCAACAAGTTTGTCTGCATTGTACAGTTTGTGTTTATTACCATTTTGTTGTATACACAGATACAGCATATTGAATAAAATATTTATATGAAACACATATTTAAAAATACCCTTTACATATTTTGTTTTAAAAAATGTGCAAAGTAGCACAGCATCGGTTGCAGCATAATGAGACATGGAAATAATTTGGCAAAACTCAATTCTCTTTCCCCAGATCATACCAAAGAAAATCTGAGGGAGGTCCTTGCTTTATTATCTCTCGTGCTTTTTCCAGGACATGATGATACCTTTGGTTCCCTTTCAAATTAATTTTGCTGTCATGTGAAACTTTCTTTTCGACTGCCTGTTATTTCCTAAAGAACTGTACAGTAAATCTGATGGAATCAATTTGTAACTATAGATTGTGTGTTTTATACTTCCATGTACACTCTATCTTTATGACTGAGCCTTCTCCATTAAATTCTCTCATTTGGATCTTAATCCACAAGTCAGTTACTGGAGGCAATCTTATCAATAAAGATGGTGATGATAGACCAGTCAAGTCATACATTTCTAATTCAGTTGGGGGAGTTGGAAGCCGCCCCCTCTTAGGCTGGCATTCATATCTACAGAGAGGACCCTTTCCACTGGTGCATTGAGAAATCATGCTAAATTAAAGGGCAAGGTACAGAAGCAAGAATCGTTGCACTGGTTCCTGAATCCCCCCTCCATAATGAATGGGATCATAAAGTTGTATGTGGAAAGGTTTTATATAACTATTTCAGAAAATTTCAGAAGATTATGTATATATATATATATTGATCATACATACATACATACATACATACACACACACATATATATATTCTGAAATTTTCTCCCAAAACAAGCCTTAGCCTTTATTTAATTTGTCTTTTAATTTGGAACATCTCAACCTAAGAAGAAATCCCTTGAGCAAACTTAGTTTTACTCACTGGCATCTGCTTAAATTTAGTCTTAAGAGGCAAAATGAAAAAAAACCCAACAATATTTATTTATTTAATAATATTTTGGATAAAATATTATTAAATAAAATGTGAGTTAACTGTTTCTTCTGTTTCTTGCCAAAATATTAGATAAGTAGATCTTTCCCATCTTTTCCCATTTCCTAGTTAGCCTTATAAGTTCAGCAACATTCATAAATTCCATATGAAAATATGGAATTTCTCTATATATATTTATGATATCTGATCCACTTGAATCCACTCTATGTAGTAAAATAACTAACAATAAAAGTGAAACTGGAGTTTTGGCTAAAACCTACCTAATGGTTGTGCCACAATAGTGCAACAGCTGATTTGACTTACAATATATATTATCTAATTTATTGCCAAGAAATTTGGAATTTGGTCTAGACCAGTGTTCCCAGCCTTGGCAACTTTAAGATATGTGGATTTCAACTCCCATCTTAAAGTCAGTAAATTATGTAGGCAATATAGCCCAAGGCCACAAATACCTAAACACCAATGTTTAAAAGTACTTGTTTGACACAACATTCACACTATTTATAAAAAAAACATGAAGGTGATTGCTCAAAGAAGTAGTCCGAGTTTCTTACGACGTCCTTTTGTTCAGAGCTGCTTCTGCTGGGACGCATACAGTTAGTTTGATTACTATGTGGGAGTAGATGTATAAGGATTCTTTTTCATTAGACCCAAAATTAACCTCCCAAAGAAATTTTCAAAGTTGTGGAATGTCAAAAGCCAGTGATGTCTATTTTCACAATTAGCTAGCATCCTGATGTGGTGGCTTTCTGTGTGCCAAGGGCTTAATTAAGAAGAAACATTCAAACATATAAGATTTCATCTGCATTTTTAGAAATATATCTTCTACTGCTAGTTGTTCCTGAATGTTTAATTGGCTTTAAAATAATATCTTTATTTTGAAACTGTTAATGTAGAAATGAATAATTGTGCATTGGAGTTCTGCTTAATAGCAAATTCTGCTATTCTATTCTATTCTAATTCTATTCCCCCAAATCTATAAATGAAATTAGAACTGTGTACAAGTTATGCAATGGCTTCTTAGTCCCTTATTCTTTCCCAATCTTCCCTAAGTATCAAAAGAGTCATTTATTTTATATGTAGCATGTGATGTAATAATATTAGTTATAAACAAGGAAAGGGATCTAATCTTATCCCAGATGCACTATGGAGTGGGAGTTTTAATCATTCCCTGCCACCATCAATAAACCTAGAATTCTTGGGTGAAATGGCCCATTGCCACCAATTATTAACTGGAAGTATGAACAAACAGCACTTGACCAAGCAGCCAGATTTTTTTTAATGTATGATAGCTGGCTTTTTGTATCATGAAAAACTGGGGTGGTAAGGGGGTTGGGGTGGAGGTTACCAGGTTGTTAATTTTGTGCTCTTTTTACAGGGTGTTACAGATGGAACCACATGTTGATACTTGGAATGTTAACCCTCAAAATTCACCATGAAAAACCATTTTTGTCACTTGCAATTGTTTGTTCCTGATTGGTTAAAAACAACCGCAACATGTTCCTGTTTTAATACATTCTATTGCACAGCTGCAACTGATTTTACTTTGCAGTCTGAATAATTTATTCCAGACTGATATTTGGAGTACTGGAATTAGAGGATGACATAAAAGGGACAGAATAATAATCTCTGCTGTGCTGGAAAACTGAGTATGCTGTTTCATAGCCATGCTGGAAAATGAATGAATGAACGCTTCATTGTGGCCAGTGAGCAGAAAAATTAGTACACTGGTAAAGTTGGCAATAAAACAGCAAATAAAAGAATTAAAGATAACAGCAAGATAACTCACAACGTTAAAAAAACTTTGCATCATGCTCTCTTCTACACTCACTAAAACAGGATTTTGTGTCAGAAATTCAAGAAATTAAGTCATTCTGGCCTGATCAGACAGTAACAAAGTGCTGGAAGGATGGTAGAGTTTTGAGCATAGGTTCCTATAAAGAATGTAAAGATTCTTATTACTATAAAGATGCTGATAATATGGTTATAGTTGTTGAGCTGTTATTACTTTAATTCTATAGAGAGGAAGCCCAATATAACTGAAATCAATGAAATTAAGCAATCTGTGTTCATAAGTGACATAATTCTACCTACTACTGTATTTGCCCATCCCCTTCTCCCCCAAAACTAAAAGATTTACCAGCTCTGCTTTACAAATCAGTATAAATTCCTAAACAGAAGGACTGAAGACTGTCTTTACTGAGTTATCAGCTACTTCCCAACAGTAATATATGACTCAAGTTTATAAACACCAATTTCAGTGTAATGCAGAGATGGTTAATTCTTGGCAGGTTACAACATCTTGCTGAATTGCCTAACTGGATGCTAAGCAGGATCAGGGCTGATTGGGTGGGTGGGTGACTACCAGGAAATTCCAAAGATGTAGGCTAGATGGGAAGTTGGCAAACATCTCAGAACAAAGCAATGGCAAACCAGTTCAAAACTGTTATCCAGATAAGTGTGTGAACCCATATATATAAAGATGTTAAAAGTTGAACTCTGAAGACTACAAAAGAGCTCAATAAACTTGAACACAAGGGAGGTAAGATTTTTAAAAATGGGCTGTTTTTGCAAGTATCAAGACTAAAAAAATAAATAAATCATGAATTGTAGAAGGTGATGAGGTTGTCATTGATTTTTAGCTGAAATGCTTCCAGGCTTCATGAGGGAGCAGCACAGCAAAATTTCTGCAGGAACCTGAAAAAGAGATAATGTTGCTTTAAGAGGTCCAGACTAAAGTAAATGTGACTCTTAAAGCAACAACATGTTTGCTCATAGCAGCATGAAAGCCTGAAAAACGTTAGGCTGCTCTAATGAATTTAATAATCTAATGAACAGGTGCTGCATTGGCAGGCATATAAAATCGAAAGCACTTTGGTAGTGTGCACAACCCTGGTCTCTGGGTGTATATCTCGACACACGTACAGTAGTGGCCAAAATTGTGGAAACCTTTTGGGAAAAGTGTATTTTTGAGGTTTGATGGCTAAGAACACCACTGTTTTTTGGAGTTTCAAGATAATCATATTCCACTGCTGGAATGACCTGGGAATAGCCCAGGCCTTAACCCAATTGAAAATCTATGGAGCCGACTAAAGAAACTTGTTAGTCAGAAGCGACCCAGCAATAAAACCCAGTTAATAGAAGCATCATTCAATCTTGGTTTTACATTATAACAGCTGCAGAACTAAAAGACTTGGTTCGCTCCATGGAAAGATGTTGTAAGGCTGTAATTCATGCTAAAGATTACCCAACTAAGTATTAACTGACATGGTGATAATTTTTGTATATCTCATTTTTTCTACGTGTTTCACTTTTCTTCTTTATACTGTAACTGCTATTCTAATAGCAAATCCTTCATAAAAGTTATTGCATCACATTCCTGATTAAATTAGCTTTCCATTGATATATAACTTTATGGTACTACTCCAAAAATAAGTGGTATTATTTATTTATTTATTTATTTATTTATTTATTTATTTATTTATTTATTTATTTATTATTCGAATTTCTATACCGCCCTTCTCCTTTCGGACTCAGGGCGGTGAACAGCCAAAATAAAAAACATTTATACATAAGTACGATTAAAATAGATTTAAAATAATTAAATTTGGCCCATAATTTAAAATTTATCAATTTAAAATCCATATCAAAATTTAAAACCAACCATAAAATCATAAAATCAAGAGAGACCGGCTAATTGAAAGAGATGAGTTTTTAGGGCCCGATGAAAGGTCCGGAGGTTGGAGATCACTCGTATCTCTGGGGGTAGACTGTTCCAAAGGGTAGGTGCCACCACAGAGAAGGCTCTCCTCCTGAGGGTCGCCAGCCGGCATTGTCTAGCCAACGGCACCCTGAGGAGGCCCTCTCTGTGGGAGCGAACTGGCCGGTGGGAGGCTATTGGTGGCAGAACGCGGTCCCGTAAGTACCCTGGCCCTAAGCCATGGAGCGCTTTAAAGGTGATCACCAACACCTTGAAGCGCACCCGGAAGTCCACCGGAAGCCAATGCAGCTCGCGCAGGAGAGGAGTCACATGGGAGCGCCCAGTCGCTCCCATAATCCCCCGCACGGCCACATT